TGAACCGGAAGTATTTGCTCTCCGTCTACGAGTCGGGGGACGATGGTGCTGTGTCGGATCACGTCTCTGTCGACGTCACTTAAAGGTCTGCATTCGTGCATCATCGGGAAGCAGAAACGGTTTCCAGTTACTGTTGAACCACTCATAATAACCTTCAGCAACACTCAAGAGGTCAAGTAAAATGGGCTCTCTACGGGGAAGGCGCCGATGTCGATCCTCCCACAACACGACCCACTCATGATGCCTCACCAGCTAATATGTATCTGTCTTGCCGCGTCTATCTAAGCTATGCAACTCGTCCATATTGCGCGGTGCATCCGGAGTTGGTTGAAAACAACCAAACTACTGGAGCACGCGATCAGTGGAGTGCCACTCGACGGTCGCATAACAGATCAGAGGGACCATCGCCATCCAAACATCTGATGGACCCCCCTCAACTCAGGTGGGATCACCGCCCTCACATCATCAGTAGAATATGACACTCATTCAAACTAAAACAAATAATATATAATTTTTATCAAAATAATAATCTAATTATATAACTATAATCTAAAATCGAATTTTAAACATTAAAATTCATACATATGTGCAACCTTCTAATCGATTAGCACCCTAATTTTTTCTAAATCATCAGGTAGCTCCTGATGATTTTTCCTATCAGTAGACCACCTATTCAAGGAAAAAAAATTATTATACGATGTAAAAAATTATTAATATACAAAATCAGTTTTATAATTACCTCAGAAGTACAGGAAATACAAATGGGTTCTTCACAATGGGAGTTAAAAGGGCAATCGATACCATGCCCAATACTGCAGCAGTAAGAGATATTCGCCGATAGCATTACGCCTGTAGTCAATGGCTCCACACATCTCCCTGTACAGTAAAGCCAAAACTGCCGAGCCCCAACTGAATGATCCGGCGAAGACGAAAGTCGCTAAGATGTCGCAACCACATGCAGTGAACTAGGTTGCGCGATTTGTCAAGCATCAACAACCCTCCTATCAATTGCAATATGCATGCCCGTGCATACATCTTAACCTCATCCTCAGAGGCGTCTGCGCTCAACTCCAAAAAATTGACATCTAACCAATTTAACGGTATCCTACCTCCGATAAAACTTTCCGGGACACGTCCTAGATTTTCCCGGCACAAAGTAGTCCAAGAAATGGAAGCTATCCCTGATATCACATCTCCATCCACCGGAAGCCCCGGGTGCATAGAAACATCCTCAAGTGTGATCGTGCACTCTCCGCACGGAAGATGGAATTTGTGGGTCTCCGGCCTCCACCGCTCTGCTAAGGCAGAAATAAGGTGTGGTTCTATCTTACAGTGACCCTGATATCTACCTATGTAACCAAATTCTACATCTACTAAATACGGCAAGACACGGCTAGGTATCACTAACTTAAGATTCCTAATAAAATGATCTAATATACGGTCATTCTCCTAAAAATAAATAATTACAAAAATTAATTCTTAATCTAATAATCATGCATTAAATAAATCAACAAATTATTACTAATAATTTAAATTAAAATAAAACGTTAAAATGTTACCGTATCAGCAAAGTGTCGAGATATATGATTTCCATCTAAGCAAATAGACCGCCTTCCATTATATATCTGTAAAAAAATTATATTAGTAAAATATTAAATAAAGTAAAATACTTAAATAAATTAAATACATAATATTAAAATATTATAAAATAGACCTTAAACGAGAGAGTATTTGAGAGAATTTGGTGTGATGAAAGTGATTGAGGATGAGGTATATATAGGGAAGGGTGGGGTGTGAAAGGCCGGGTAATTAAAACTATAACGCGCCCCCTGTATCGCGCTATACCCCACGTGTCAGATAAATAGGTATAGCGCGGAGCAGGGCGCGCGCTATAATCACGTGTAACCCAATCAGCATATAGCGCGATGCAGGGGCACACTTTACTACTACAAATGTTAAATCGATAAATATACCGATCATCGATGATATTTCGAAAAAACGTACCCTTCTTATAAACACCACATTTGTCACGTTACTTAACCCAGGCTCAGCCCCCTTCAAAGTCACAATCCTTACGGGGGCTAAAAAACACCTTTCTGATTATATATTTTAAACAAAATCCAAAGTGAACTTTAAAAGCAGTAACTTAGAGAAGGTGAGATAGTCGATTCCAATCCAGTGTTATTATTATTTTTTTGTCCAAAGGAAAATAGGTTAATCCATAGTCATAGGGGTCACCTCCCCCAGAATTGAGACACTTGTCCTCTTCTTTTTTCTCTTTCATGGCCTTTACCCAGCTGGCTGTGGCTGATGCGTTTTCCTAATTAATTGTCTCTTACTATCTACTAATTAATTGTAAGATAAGTAATGAGGTACAAAATTTCATAGTAAATACAAAATTATATTCTTTTCCTTTTTATGACTAATTAACTCCTACACCCTTCCTTGAACTAGAATTTTGAAATTTGACATATTCCCTCTTATTTCCAACTTTATTAATATCATCTCATGTAATAGTATCTCTTTGACTTTGGACTTCAATTCATTTGGTAATCTGATTTTCAATATTTTTTGTGGTTTGCGACTCCAGAAGTTTTGAATTTTTCTTGTGACAGAGACACTTAGTCGATGAGTTCATATCCCTTACTTATCATAATATGTAGGGAATCATTCAATTTTTCTAATAAACTTATTTTATGCCAAAAATTATGGATAAAATTAGAGGGCAACGGGTCGGATTGAGTAGGCTTCTAATCAAATCAATTCGATCCGAAAAATATACATTTTAAATTAGAATTTGATCCGATTCAAAAATTATATTTTCTCCACTCGATTCGATCGACCCAAAAAATATATATCATTCACCCGACTGTGACCCAACTCGAATTTTTAAAGCATGAATCCGATCAAACCCAATATAAAATAAGAATTTAGTTTAAAAAATAATATTTTTTAAAAAATAAATCATTATCCTTAGTTCAAGTCGGGTCAGGTCGAAAGATTTCACCCTCACCATAACTCAACCCGACCTCGCTCCCTTAAAACAATCGATCTGAATCAACCCGAAAATAAAATTATTTAAAAAAATCTAATCTTTTAAAATTGAAACATGTCTATTTTCATCGATTTCATATTTAAATTATCATCCCTAGATAAAACAAAAAAATTGAAAACATATATTGATATTTGGGAAAAAAATCAAATCGTGATAACTTTTTTTTATTAGTTAAGAAAATTGAATTAACAGATACAATTAATGATTTGACTTAAAACACAAAATTCAAAAATAAAAAAACATTATTGAAATATTTAAAATTTATGGATTTAATTGCTTTTTTATTAGATCAAGATAATTATAAAGTAATATATATCATAATTATTTTTAATTATTTGACTATAAACATTAATCACTCTTATTACAATTATTAATGTTCGAATTTTAGACTAAAAAATAAATTTTGAGATTTAATTATTTTTATTAATATAAATGATTATAAAATAATATATATTAAAAATACTTTAAATGTAGAAACATTCTTACCTATGTCGTAATTAAATTCCGAAGATTACAACATTATCTTTACTAGTTTGATTCGTAGAGATTTAACCAATTAAATCTTAAGTACTGATCTCACCCGTTTCATCGATGTGATGGATGTCCACCGTTGCTTCGGCCCTTTCACCATCCTCAAATTTGGAATGTTAAAAAAGTATAAATTTTATAGCGATGAAGAAGAGGGGGATACGATAAGATCAACATTGACGATCACATTGGTGATTGATTATCGAAAGACATGACAGAAAAAATGAGTGGGGATGGAGTCGGGACAGGAATCCTGAGTGGGGGCACTTTTTTTTTCAGGACTGTTTGGTTTGAAAAATGTGAAATTCTCGTAAGAATTAAATTTATATTTTACTGTTTAGTTGGTTCAAAATGTCATTATCAATAATTTTTTATTATCAATAGTAAATTTTTTGAGGTATATTATTAGAAATGTTATTATTTAATTCTTTAAGTATTATTGAATTACCGATATTTTAACTAAAATTTTTTAATTTTTTTTTAAAATATCATTCTTCTGTAATTGAATAATAAAAATTCTACGAAAGTTAAATTATAAATTTATCTTTAAATTATTTTAGATTTACAAAAAAATTCTATAATTAAAATTTTATAAGAAATTCAGGGTTAAAATAAAATTTTATCATTTCATTAAACATTTTTATTTTTTCAATTTTTATAAAAAAATTATATAAATTTTATGAATTTAAATTTAGTCAAATATACATTTCAATAATCTTTTATTCTTTTAACCAAACACGATAATCTTACATTATTGTTAAACCAACCAAACACAAAATATAACATTCTCAATAATCTATTCTCCGATAACTTTTATTCCCACTGATAATACATTCCGTAAACCAAACGTAACCTACATAAATATATGAACTACATCATTTTGGGGACCTTCGCTTTAATCGAAGCCTTACTTTTGCCGACCTCGTTTATTGCACACACACCCCTTCGGTCTCTGCTCACCTTCCACTCTCCATGCATGCCCACTGTACCTTCCTTCCATTCTACCACTACTCACGCACTCTTTTAATTGTTCATTTACAAGTACTGGACATGTAAAATGATGAAATTTCCAATTCTGGCGAGTAGCAATTAACACAAGCTTAAGGGAAGAAGAAGAAGAAGAAGACGGGCTTCAACAAATATGTAGCAGCTAATTTAATTGATTGATTAAAGTAGATCAGAACAATACTACTAGCTAACCTTATGATTATTTTCTCATGTACGAATATTCCTTCGTAATAAATAAACATTGTAGGCATGTTGAATTGTCGGGTCAACAACTGCAGAGCAAATTCATTCAGTGAAAAAATCAACTTAATGGAACTATCAGTTTCATTGCAAGGAAAAAGCAGAATATAGATGAAACAAATTTGCTTCACAGTGCTTAATCTGGAAGAAAATCTGTCTTACCATAAGGTTGCTTCAAAAACAACAAAAACATGATTGATTTCAAGATTAAACCACCCATTTTTACATTGAAAAACAAAAAAGGAAGCAAAACTAATTAAAGAAATTTCATTTCTCTTTCTCTTATGGAAAGAAATATAGGCTGGAATTAAACCCAACTTTTTTCTTGGATTCTGCTTACTGCCCCCAAACATTAAAAATCCTCTCTCCAATGAAGTTCACGAACCTCCTTACCGTCCCCTTCTCTGTTCCCTCTTCTTCTCCATCATCCCCACAAACTTCACCACCGCAACCGTTGCTGCTGCTACTCACTTCCACCGATTTCAACTCATTCGACTCATCCTTTCTAAAGTTCAAATCAGCTGGTTTTAAACCACCTGACCCATTAGTACCGCTACCGCCGTTTTTCTTTTTCCTGTCTTTCTTGCTCTTTGTCTTCTTGCTTTGGGCTAACCCATCTTCAAAAGCATCAATAATCTCGTGTATCAGCTGCCGGTTCGGCGACGAGTCCCACCTGACCCAGAAACTCATGTAGCACCTGAAACAATCACACCTAAAAATAGGTGGATGGTCACGATCGCGGCAGCTGCTGAAGCTCATGTTTCTTTTGGCCGGATATTTCTGGGTGCTTTTTCCATGGCTTGACAAGTTGCCAAAATCGTTGTTGGAACAAGAGATGAGATAGGCCAAAACCTCCCTGTCTTCTGGGGAAAGAGCAGTCGCTAGAGTTAAGATGGCGGCCGGAAGGAAGGACAGATGATCGGTGGTGATCTGAGGAGATGGATGAACCGTACCTCTCCGGTAGAGCTTCTTCATGGTGACTTTTGATTATCAGCCAGAGAAAGAGAAAGAAGAGAACTTTAAAATTTGGATGGGTTGATAAGGTTTTATATTAGCATAATTCTACGAAGGGGAGAGAATAATATAATACTAGTAAAACATAGGGGTTGATGACGGTAGTTTAGGGCACGGGGGACATTAGCCTGAGGAAGTGTGCGTCGCGGGTCTTAAATGGTGAACGGCCCAATCATAATAGTGGATGGAGTAAATCTAAAATCTAAAATCTCAATCACTTATCTTTATCACTCCATGTCGTTTCGAGTTGCTGTTGGTGCACTACTGGTAATTGTTTTGTATTTGTCTGTGTCTGTCTCTATTCACTGTCCCGCTTCATATGTTAATGTAATCAAATAGGTTTTGTAGCTACCAATACCAGTGGCACACACATGCATTGGTTAAGCTTTAACTGATCCTGCCCCAATCATGGACCGACCCAATGCACTATTCTGCTCCAAATTTACGCCTCAGTATACCTTAATCAGCTTCCAAACACCATCATCGACACTCTCGTGCAAGCAGTTACGTAGGCACCATTTATTAATTGCATCGCAAATACTTGTAAAAAACATGCATTGGCATAGCCGCCTCTAAATATAAATAAAGAAATACAACAATTAATTAACATTACAAAATTATAATATGGGCCATGGTAACATCTTCTCTTCCTCCTCTTAACCTGCACTGTCGATTCATGTCAGTTTAAGCAAAATATAGCCTTTTGGTTTATTATAAAAGATCAATTGCATACAAAGAACTAACCAGGCTCTTTCACGTACATAATGAATAGTGAATTCCCAGCTGGGGGTAGGGTTATAAACTTATAATCAGCACAGGCATTTCAGGACATTATATGAACTTGGCTCGTCTTCCTTCCTACCTAGGTTAAATTTATACGACATTAGGTAGGTAACGATTTGCTATGAAAGTGAAGAGGTTACATCATACACCCTTCTCTGTACTCCAAGTTTAGAAGCTTATGTTTTAAACAAAGCAAAGATATAGAAGTTGACTCCTACTTAATAATCCAAAGATGGAAAATCTCTTCATACATTTTAAAAAGCATTTTCACTACAAACCAATGACAATAATTAGATACCATTCTCGATATATTTAAACCTTTAAGAAGAACTTTGTAGACGAGTCTTAATCCATGATTCAAGGACTGCAACTCCTCGTTGCTTATTGAATGACCAAGACTAGGATAAGCCTGTAGTATCGTACCATTTTCAGCAGATCAGCAGATGCCATGTAAAAAGAACCAGAAAATATGTTTGGCACATGTACTTTGAATTCACAGGTTACTCCAGCTTGTTCAAGGAAAGGGGACCCCTGCTTGTCCAGCCTCAAAAAGTACAGTTCTGTCAGCCATTCCGTGGAACCATAAAATTGGTGTCTGAGTTACAGGTGTCACACCAATTGTTACTTCAAAACAATGAGAAATTCGAGTAACTTCATTAAGAACTCGTAATCTAAAAGAAGCTAACAGCAGATGACATTATTATCTATCAAAGCATAACAAACACAGTTAGCAATAGCATCTTTGTTAATTAGGATGCTAATGGTAGCTTATAGAATTAATACTTTCACGTTGCTGGAAATAAATTCCAGATCAATCTATATAAGATATGCTAATATTTATAGGTTTGACAGGCTCCAAATAAGACAGGAAAAAGGAATGGGGATAAAGTATTAGCAATCTGGATAAAGTTGCAGCATTTGATGAAAAGCACCTTCTGTGAACTTTTCTATCACTGAAGTATTGAAAGGAACCCATCCACTGAAGACTGCACCTCCACCAAGCTTTTTTGGGTACAACAGAACACTAGCCAAGGTCAAGGTACCTGAAGTTAAAATTTGAAACATACCTGATACCACAAGTAATGCAGTGGATTATGCTATGATCCTTAAAGATAGACTTCCTACCTCCTTGACTAAATCCACACACAAATATGTTATTAGGATCCGTCCCAGCAGCTAATTCTGTCTATCATAGCATGCACATTCTGAACTGCTTTAAGGACATTACTTTCAGCTTTTGGAGAATCCTATACATATAAGCAAAACCAAATATCCAACTGAATCAAGAGTAACATGAGCTAAGCATTCACACCATCATGACGGAAAAGGTAGAATTGGTGGTAAGGCAGTGTGACTTTTCTAGAGGAACGAAAAAGTAAAGAAGAGCATTTTCATGACATTGACAAATAGCCTAATACAAATATCTTTCACTTAATACATGGCATAACAAGTACCAAGCAGTAATGAAGTTTATGAACATTGAAAGCTTAGAACTTAGTGTCACAAAACAGGTTGACACCAAAAACCTAAGGAATTGAACTTGAGGCCACTATGCATGTTTTGCTGGAATAATCACAACATAAAAGTTTGAACATTGAAGTGAAAAGAAATCCCATGCTAACTGCCATCTATGTAATTTTTGCAGATAAAAAAGAGTTCAGTCAGTTAATAAGTAATAACCATAAAGAATTCCAAGGGTGATGTAGTTACATTTTATGAACTGCGGCATATGCATAACCTGGCTGTGAGCCTGTGACAGAAAACCCACAACTCGTGATGATTTAGTCCTTCTAAGCATGCATGCATATGCATTAAAGTTAAAACAGACGACCAATGGTAGGAAAATAAAGATGTAACACATATACTTAAATTATATAATATACTATTTGCCAATAAGCGACAATAGGTAGTAGTTACATACACCGAAACTTGGTTTCACTATAATGGTACCTAAAAGACATCTGAAAGAGAAATATCCCAGCAATAGATCAAATTGGCATAAATGAAATGGAAGGAGAACAAGCATCACTTAACGCTGTCACGGGAATCTCATGGATGTCAAGCCAAGAAGGCATCCTCATTCCATGTGCCAAAGAAAAATATATCAGAAAGAAAAACGGCATTTTCTTCATGATAAGCCTAAAGTTTACTCGTGACACCAGTTAAATCGTCTGAGATGAACGACTTTTAAGATAATCTAGCCAGTTAAATCTAATCGTCGTCCATCACTTGTACGTTTTCCTCTAAAAATTTCCAAATTATTACCTGCCATAAATTACACTGAAACTCTAATTAAACTAGAGAGAATCAGACCGATACACATCATTTCATTCAAAACACAAAAAACAAAAGTGAATAAGCAGACCGAATTCGTGAAAGAACGCAAATAATGAAGCTTACAGTTGAAGGTGACGGCGTTTTCTGGAGCAGAGGGGAAGACCGCTTGTTGTTTCGGAACTCGGGATGGCTAAAGAGTGTCTTGATGGGTTCATTATCTGGGTCAGAGTCACCAAGCCCATGAAGCCGAAGTACAAAGCTCCGAGCAGCCCATGGAATCCTGCTTTGTAGCGCAGTTGGGAAAATAAGTATGGAAATGATGGTGCTACCGAGGATCACAGCAAGAACTATACGGTCGGACCTGGTTAACAATATAGAATGCATGCATATCTTCAGCCATCCACGGTGACCCTTTAGTTCTACAATACATTGATTTTAATTTTTTTCCCCTGAAAATTTTCTAGAATGCGGTTTGTAGCCGAGCCCAATTGAGTTACCGACACAGCGATTACCCTTTGCTAGCCCAGTTATCACGTGGGCCAGTTTTGTTATTTGATGTAAAGAGACCTTAAAAGTAATACATATTCCAATTTCTCATGGAATCCTCTTTTTCCCAACATCTTCCACTCAAAGATATGCTTCCACCCACCTGGGATGGATCATTCTCAACCTTTATTCAAAAACATGAACTTAAGCTATAAGCTACACGATGAATTGTCGAGTGTAAAAGCATCACGTGGAATGTGGGAAGCACAGTGTTAAGCCCTCTCTAGTTAGACACATGACTCGATAGCGACTACAGGGACAAAAAGTTCCAAGTTTAGGTGTAGATAAGTATTCTTATCCTTTAATATTTTATTACATTAATTGAATTTGATCTTATTGGAACCAATAGTCCTTTAATGAATTGACCTAAATCGGGTGAAAAAAAAGGCATTAAAATAATAATAATAGTTGCTGAGCATTAAAACCATAACAAGCCATGACAAAAGACAATGATAAAACAGGGAACGGCTTGGAAGAAAGGAAAAGAAACTTTTAAGTGTACCGCTTGCCTGTCTGTCATTGTTGTTGTTGTGAAGCGTTGTGGTAATAAGACGAGTTGTAGGAATATGTGCAATTTTACTTCACTGCTTGCGATAAAAACAGTGAAGCCCAAGGTCTAGTGCTACGAGCCTGTACTTGCGCATAGATATCAGCCCCCTCTTGGCCCTTTCCTCCCATCTTCATGTCGACACCAAATAGATTAAAATAAAGGGTAAAGTATAGTAATGGTCACTAAACTTTTCTAAAGCTTTCATTTAGGTCCCCCAACTTTTTAAAATTTGCAATACAGTCTCCCAACATTTAGTCCGTTTGTAATATGGTCCCCCAACAGTTACGCCAGGGACCATATTGCAAACAAACTAAATGTTAAGGGACCATATTGCAAATAGACTAAATGTTTGGGGATTGTATTGCAAGTTTTAAAAGTTGGGGACCTAAATGAAAGCTTTAAAAAGTTCAATGACCATTACTATACTTTACCCTTATTTTTATTAGGTGGTTATGTATTGATATGTTTTTGACATGTTTATATTATGTTTGATATGTTAGTTTTATATTCATGTTGTAGGTTATATAAATTGATAAGTATGTCACCTATATGTGGTGTGTTATTATAGTTGGTAAGCATACAATAGGTAAATGTAAGAGGTGTAGTGTTTTGTATGTTAAAGATATGTTTTGAATATATATATTTGCTATGTATGGTGATGGATTTTGTATGATTCACCATGTATGAGTATGTTGTTATGTTTATATTCTAATTTTAGTAGTGATAAATATTGTATATGACTTGCTCGATGGAAAATTTTATTGCATATTTGGTGTGTAATTAATTGAAGTACAACTGGAAAGATGGGTGTAAGTGTGATGTGTCGAGTATGATTCTATGTGCATTTTATAGTCATGGCATATCCACATACCTTATACTAAATTTCATAAGGTTTAGGAGTGATTTGTATCATCCGAGATTCATCCAAAGTGGTTAAAATATTATTTCTTACACAATTTCAATATTTT